GGCTATTACGTTACGCTTGTCAAAATCGATTTGAATCAAATTTTAATGCACCTGCTTCCGAGTGTTTCCACTCAGCACGGTTGACGAGTGGTAGTTCTTCAGGGAGCTTCGATGTTGGCTGCTTGGTGGTATGGCAGTTGGCATCGATCCGACAACAGGAGCACTCGTAACGCACGAACGAGAACCAAATCTGTGCTATGCAAACGAGACGGCACAAGTCCTGCCAGGATCCATCCCCAGGGAGCACTGAGCTAGAAGTTATCAATTTTTATCAAATCATTTATTTTTCATCCATTTTATTTGAATTTGCATTTATTTTATTCTCGCATTCAATGCTTCAGGTGGGGTATGTGTCACGTCACGGTTAAAAACATGTGATTTGGATGCTGCATGCAGCTCTAAACCTAATCGATGCTCCAGAAGAGTATTTCAACAAATTCAATCTACTTCACAGCGTGAAAAAATTAAACATTAAAGCAGCGTGAAATAAGGAGCTAGTAGCATGCAAATAAACAAGTTTGGCATAAACAACTGCAGCAAAAATATAAAGGCATAACTTTGAATCGGGATGATATTTTTAATTTATTCCTTTGGGTTCTGTTACTAACATATTAAAGTACAAAAGGTTAAACTTACTGTTTTATTCATAGTTGATTGCTTTAATCAAGTCGTTTTGGGAATGTGTTGCTAGCGGTACCTACCTGATGTTGAAGAATTTCGTTCCATATTGTTTTACAACGTGGTCCCTGGCTTTTTCACCTGAAATAAAGCATTTCTGTATATTTGCAGCTTAAAAATATCAAGAAGCCATAAAATTTCACAATTTTTTGTATTGTCAAATTAGTTGTGAGCCGTAAAAATTTAGTAAGTGTTTGAATTTTTTCCAGCAGCCGGTGCTGAACTCTGTTACAAATTACCGCATCTCATTGTCATTGTCTTTTTGTCATAATTGTGTATACGCAACGTAGGCCTATCTGTGATGTGCTCTGTATATATTCCTTTCGAATCAAATAAATATAAATTAATTGTGTATAAACTAAATGGCGGAATCAACCAGGGCGTCACAATATCTGCTAGCTTTCTTTTTCTGTTGAAGTCGAGCAGCAGTTCAATTGGCGTCTACAAGCAAATGTTCAATCATTTGTTTTTCTTTCTCCCGTCGCTTCATTCGTCTTTCTTTCAAGCTTCGGTGAAGCGGACGAGTGAAAGAGTGCTCGATTTTGATAGTTTCATCTTTCATGAAACACATCAACCGAGGTCTCATGACGTATATGACAGAAAATGAAAATATATATTTAAAGCATTTTTCACTTGAAAAAACTTGAAGATTACACGTAATATGTTTAATTTATCTAAACAAATTGACAGAGCAGGTGACAGTGTCGGTGAAAGGGATTGTAAGCCATAATGAGGCTTCTTTTCAACCCGAAAGTCGACGTTACTTTCATTGAAAGGGGTGAGAAAAGCAAAGCAAATCCACAGCCAGCGTTTCATTTTAAGCGTGCTTCATTATCATTTTCATTTCGTACTGATAGTCTAGCCACGGACAAACAGACATACCACTCACAATCACATACTACGCAAATAAGGTTTTAGTAGGGAATGTGCTCGCATTTGTCTTGAAGGCGCCACCTTATTTCGAACTTGTCAGTGATGCCAGCTTTTTTTCAGGTCAATTTAGTAGATTTCAGCTTTTGAAAATGATAAGAGGGCCAAGGCATCCCACTGGAGACACAGACCACTTATTAATCGGACGAATACAGAGTTGATGAATATTACATCCAAACAGTTTTACTTGTTGATAAGTATTATAACACCTTTGTAACATGTTATAACACTATTGTCTGAACAAAACATTACCAGCTACAATACATCATTATGAGATACATGGATACATATTATATTTGTTGGCTGAGTACCCATTAAAGTGATGAGCGGTGGTAGAAAGGGAACGCATTAGCGAAAAAATCACACTAAACAAACAAAATAAATCCCTAAAAAATACTGCGTTTCTGTTCCATCAATTGTATAGATCTACATAAAACACCGACGTCACTGACTTGCATCTGTTTTGTTTTTGTTCAACACAGCTGCACAGAAAAAAAAATCTGAATTTAAACTATCGCGTAAATCCCCTTCGTTTAATTTTGAGCTATACTTGGCATAAACAGCGAAATCGTTTGCAAGCTTGCATACAATATTGCTAATTTATGCGACATTGCACTTAAATTTACCCGAAATATCGCGTAAATTTATGCCAAATCCAGTGTTAATTTTATGTGCGCTGTATCTCGTAGAAATTTACATTAATTTTTCGAACGGTGCGACGTGTTGACAGAACGAGGGAAAAGCAACTGGTGAAAAATTGCATGAACGAGGGATGCTCCGTTTACTCATAATGATAGAGGTTGCTAGCACACCGACATGCCACAGGAGCATTTACTTTAGATTTACTTTAGGTCAAATTTAATTTAGAATTCTGAATTTTTCTTTATTCTTCAGAATTTTCCAAAAAATATTATTTTCCTTAGAATTCCCTTGAACATGATGCCAGTAATTACTAGAATTTTTCCTCTCATATTTCTTTGTAGTGTGCCAGTTTTTGGTCCTAGTGGTCCTCTAATTGGGCCTATCTTAAATTTCAATTTGTTTCATTTTTTCCAAATTTATTTCGATGAAAGGTTAGAACATAGATTTTACTGCATATTTACGCAAATAACCTGAAAACCATGAAAACCTTTTTCAAATTTGAGTTGGACCCTAGGGCCAAAAACTGGAGAACTAGTGCCATAACTGGCGCACTTACCTTACTCATCACAATTTCTATCAATTTCTATTTATTGGGATTTTACTTAACAACCGGATTATTGTCAACTGCTTATGGTACGTAGTGAAATTCTTCGAGCAATTGGGTGCTTATTCTAAATTACTAGTTTGCTACTACTACTACTTCCAGGAAAATGGCATCGACAAAGGACGAACTTGAGGGTTGAAAATGAAATGAACAAAAAATAAATTCTCTTCAGAATGCGGTGAAAATTATCGTTCTAATTAATTTGGATTTCTCCTCACATTATCATAGAACTATCTTGGAATTCTCCAAATAATACACCAGAAGTTGTGCTCAAAATGTTTTTAAAATGGGTTTTTTTTTTTTTTTTTTATAATCTCGAGGAATTATTCCTTTAATTGATTTTCAAATCCCCTTAAAATTCTACGAATTGCTTGACTCTAAAAACATGCAAAATATTACAAATCCCAGAATATTCTAGTCTAATGTTTTAAAATGCGGTTTCTTGGATTTTTATCAAAACCTGGATTATTTTTGTAAGTCTCATTGACGAGAAAATTTCTCCAAATCTGCATAAACTTCAAGTTTTTTTTTTATTTTAAAGATTTTCTCTGCAATAATCAATTTTTCTGTAGGTCCGCAATCTCGAAATGCTTTTCATGGAACTATTTTTTGTTTTATTCAATGATTCAAAAATAAAATTAAGATCAATCTTTACGATCCAATATTTGGGACTCATCAATGCAGCGTGATATATTTAAACTTCGCCTTCGAAAAATTTCGTGTTTATTCAATTTATGTAAATTCTGTAGGTAAATTATGAAACTTAGAAAATATAAATTTTAATGACGATTGAAACTTGTTCAAAAGTGTTTAACTAACCAAATAAATTTAAAAAATTTGTTTGTGCAAACGTCTACTACATGCGCAACTACCCTACTATCTCAAGGGGTACATCTATCCTCACACAGATGCCGCTACAGTAGTAATCCACAAGTGTCTCTTTCTGTTGTGTACTGTTTTGTATTGTACATATTTGACAAATAAAATTATAGTTCGTATGCCTCCGCCATGGCAGGATGGCCCAACAGTCGGTCTGTTTTTTATCTATTAAAAATATCACAACGTAGGGAAACGAAGTTCCGTGCGCGATCATAATGATCCTGGTCACGGCACCATTATGATCGCGCACGGAACTTCGTTTCCCTACGTTGTGATATTTTTAATAGATAAAAAACAGACCGACTGTTGGGCCATCCTGCCATGGCGGAGGCATACGAACTATAATTTTATTTGTCAAATATGTACAATACAAAACAGTACACAACAGAAAGAGACACTTGTGATTACTACTGTAGTGGCATCTGTGTGAGGATAGATGTACCCCTTGAGATAGTAGGGTAGTTGTGCATGTAGTAGACGTTTGCACAAACATACTCCCTCCTCAAAACCAACGGTTTTCCATTGATAAAACGGATATTGATGAGATGAATATTCCGAATACAACACGAAGATGAACGACAAACACGATAACTGCACTTGTATCCGGCATACCCACTCGCCTTTTGGAGTGAGCATGTTCCCTGACCAGAACTGTCCTAGTCCACGGTGAGTCAGGAACGTACATGCTCAGCTAGATGGCTACCTTGAAGGCCACACCATCGTAGCTGGAAGTAGAGCGGCATCCTTGCAGCAGTGTATCGCGTTTTTCACTTCACATATCCAGTGGTTACATGGACTTGAAAACGTTGCCCGCAGGTGTCAAACGATTGGTCACGGCACCAAATTATGATCGCGCACGGGCTGGACCCTATTTACGTTGTGTTTACGGAGAACTATTATTTGACCGTCCTGCCATGGCGGAGGTATGAGAACTATAAAACGTTTATTTATTGTAACATAACAAGGAAACTACAAAGGCAATGACAATGATACGGGGACAAGTGGTGACTTCTATGAGTAGGTACAGTAGTTACTTTATGTTAAGGGTAGAGGCAGTAGTAGTCGCCTGCATGTACAGAAATTTATATTGTTGCTGAGTTATAAGAAGCAGTGATCTCCATGCCTTCTGGCAACATTTATGCCCTAGTTGCATTTAAAAATTTCCGTTAAATGCCATATAATTTTTCATAAATCATAAAACCTAATTCAAACAATCTACCACAAGTACAATTTTTTAACAAATATCTACCATCTTTTTTCATTACAGTAATGGTGGATTCCGGCCCGTACTGGACAACGGTCAACCACGGACAACTCCTCCTCTATTTCTTCCTCCACATCTGGCCTCTCTGGGGTCTCAGTTTGGTCCGCCATTGTTTCCTAATTTAAAAGGTGTGTATATAATTTCGAAGACAGATCAACTGAATGATACATTTAACAGCCCTCCTCTTCTATTCAACTACAGCCGCCTTCCCGGGTCTGTGCTCATGCTGCCCGGCAAAATCTCCCATCACCAGCGGGTCCTCAACAGCCACATCCTCACCGACGTGCACTTCGCTAGCCCACTCGATCTGCAGTACCGGCACCACTTCAACCAGCAGCGCATCCCTTGGAGCATCGGATCCCCGGTCATCTTCGGTTGCCGAGCTTCGTCGAAAAGCTCAGGAACACTCAGCTGCCCTCCTGCACTCGCTACAAGCAGCAGCCGCCGCTGGTTTAGCATTTCCCGGATTCCATTTGCCACCCCTATCGCTGCACACTGCCCTGAGTAGTGGTCGCAAACCGAGTGATTTCATCAGTGACCTCTCGATGCATCACCATCTGAGCAATCATGGACTTGGTGTTCTCGGAGCACCACACCTCAACAACAACAATCCAAACAGCATGAATAATAATAATGCATCCAGCATAGGTGGATCCCCATCTCCCACGAGGCACAACGGGGATAAATCGTCCAGTGATTAATAGGAGTCTCAACTTGGGGAAATGAATATTGTGATTTTGATCAGTATAGCAAAAAAAATGTGTATATACTTAAATACCGCTAGGAGGAAGAAGTCGTCCTCTATCACACGTATAGTAGCATCCATCGTTCGTACTAGATTACTGATTGCATAGTGAGAGTAGGTTATTAACATTCCACGGCAACTTGCAATAAATTAGAGCTAGGAATAAAAAGCTTTCATTCGAAATTACTTAATTTAGTTTGTTAATGCAGTTTGCTAGTGAAAAATACAGGATCTAACAATAAATTCACCCAAACCATATTTAACAAAAGTCTTTTAATTAAACACAATGATGAAACGATTAACGAAGCAAATAATTTCTATTAATTATTCTGATTGGCTAAAAAAGGAACCACTTGTAAATAGCACAAAACAATACGTAAAGCACATACAGAATCAAAATATAATGTTACAGAATCTTCTCGATTACAGCAGATCGTGAAAAATATCTAAACCAATAGAAAAGAATACTAAGAATTTTGAAAAAGCTAACAGAAACTGTATAGAAGTTTTGCCAAACGGAACACCATTTAATGTAGCTGTAATGCGGATATAAATGCCAAAATGTAAAACGATAATTACAAAATAAATTCATTATGATGCAGTTGAAACGAAGGTTGTTTGAAGTGTTTTCAAAGAAATCCTTCCATTTTGTCCTGGTTGTTTAATTAAATGATTATGATGTTGTTTTATAAGCCATTTGACAGCAGAATATCGAAATGCATTCGGTAAATAAGATGACGTTTTGTTGAGATTTTCCTTAAAATTCTATTAGAATTTGTCTCAATTTTTTTAGGATTCTTCTTAAATTTCTCCTGGAGTTCTCTTTACTATCCCCATGGAAATCAAATTTTCTTAAAAACTATCTTCAGATCCAGATCACATCTGAATCTCAACTTCAGACTTCAGAAAATCTTCTTACATCGTTGAACCGGTTGATGATTTTTAATACACTCGCTTGGATATCGTGCGCGACAGTCTGTTTGTACTCGTACACTCATGCAAAAAGAAAATTGTCAAATAACTATCATATGACATTGTGTGAGATTTTTTTCTAACTCCTCAATTTGGTGTAAATAAAACTATTTCTAATCATCGTTGATTGCTTTTTTCAGAACTCACACAGCCATATTAGCAGCTCTTATTATGAGAACACCTAAAATACAAACATTCGTGACGGTCTTCGGCGACAGTGTCGTTTGATAGAGACTGTCATATATGACATTTTAGTTTGGTACTGTACTGTAAGACCTTGTTTTGCAAGCATCGGAAGCAAAGACAACCGATAATCACAGAAAATGCGTCGACTGCGGTGACCGCTTACAAGACTGATCGGAATACATCTTTCTGTGGGTAGTCATCAAAATCTTCATCAATATTCTATCTTTCTGCTCAGTGTGCGCACATTTCAAGATAATTTCATTCAGGATAAAAATCTTCCCTGCAAAATAGACCCTTTGATTATAATTCAGATTCCTTTTGATTTATTTTCACAATTCAAGCTGAACAGTGTATTAGGTCCTAAGTAACTTTCTCTGAACTCTTAACTACCCCATTCCCGGCCTATTAAGGACAACCTACACTTAGTCTTTCCTAATCTAGCGCAGTTTAGGACCAAACGGAATGTTATTATTACTGATGGCTTCCAAATTAATTTACCTTTCCGTACGTACCGTAAGATTTGATAAAGAGAAACAAATAGTTGAGATATTGTTTAAGTTCTGACACTGCTTGTTGACGCCAAACCCGGCCTACGGATTCTAAGCTCGGCCTAACGCATTGTAACGCCATTGAAACACCGACAAACCGACATGAAACTTAAATTTAACTCTTGATCGAGAATCCATAACGGCCAATTCAAATGTGCAGCGTCCCATCTGTCATAACCATAGACATGTTTTAAATAGATAAAAATAATTTGTCCGAAATAGATTAGACACGAACCAACTCATCAATTTTGTACGCGTGTTCGTGGCCAGGATACATATTTTCGGTGAACACTGTACTTTGATCACAAATTTCTTTTTAATTTGTATGATCATTCATGTTGGTTTGTCGGTGTGAGTTTCACGACAGTACCCAACCCATTGCAGGTATTCCCGAATCCGCATAGTCGTCGCTACCCCGCTGACCAGTTCACCATAGTCGCTGGCATTCCGGCGATTGAATCGCTGTCGCTAAATCGCCGGCCCTACTTTTTTCATCACCGACAATCGGGCGAGTGCAACGCCTTTGTAAGCCCAACGGGCCTTCAGCAGTGTCGTTGACATTTCGGCAGTTTCCCCGCTATTGACCCGCCGACGACCCGTTAATCATTATCGTCGAACGAGCTAGTTGGTCTTGGCTATTCCCGGCTAACACCACCAAGTAGTCCCATCCATCGGCTCCATATACTGATAGCAACCATCATCGCTGTGACCACCGACCAACAAACCACACGATCAGCTCCACCACTCGCCAACAACCACCTCCATCAGTAACCCCACCCACCAGCAACGACCACCAACATCATCATCACCAAAAAGTAGCATGCAAACAGGTAACCCTTTACCTAGGTCACAAAATAAATGTTAAAATGAAAATTAGCCTCTATAGCTTCATTAGATAGAGCACATCCTTAGCTCATGGCATTTCCCCGTCTTGTTGTTGTTCCGCTTCTTTCTGGGCTCACAAAGGAGCCATCAAGCCTCGCCGTTCCTAAATTGATTTGGAAAATCTTCGTATTGGCTTTTAAGCACACATTTTGATAGAGCCTGGTTGGTTTATTTGTTTTTCTGAATCTAGCAACACCTGTCTGTGAAAGAGTATTTTCGTTTCACGTGTTTTTGCTTGATGTGAGCTAAATTACGTGGGTGATGCGGGTGAGAGTAATAAGCAGTTAAAAGACCCTGATATCATCCCTGAGCTTGCAGGTAACATCCTCTACGATACCTCACGACGCCGGCGTAAGGACGAATCCAAGTATAATCCAAGTAAGTCGCTTACCGACACCACTGACCGGCTGCGCGTTGGTTTGAGCACTTCGATTAAACTTTTAAGTTTCATCAACTACGAGGCTCCATAACTGCAGGAGACAGATTCAAATATTCAAAGCATGCAATCCAACAAGGCTCCAGGGGTAGAGAGGCTTGAAGCTGACCCCATGCCATGCGCACGGTTTTGGGACAAATGGTCAAATGGATAAATGAACAAAAGGTCGAATGTTTGTTGGTTTTTCTTTTAAAAAGTCGAATGTTTGTTAGTTTTACTTTTAAAATATCGAATGATTCAAAGAGGGACAAAAGGTCGAATGGTTCAAAGAGAGCCAAAGGTCGAATGGCCCAAATAGGAACAAAAGGTCAAATGGCCCAAAGAGTAACGAAACGTCAAATGGTGACAAAAGGTCGAATAGACAAAAGGTCTAATGGACAAATGGTCGAATGGTGCAAAGAGGGACAAAAGATCGAATGGACTATAGGTCGGGAAAACAATATAATAATGTACACAGATATCTTAACCTGTCAATACTCGCACCAACTTTTGTGACAAGAACACTCGCACGTTGTACTTTGTACAACACATGTGGTCTGTCCGTTCCTCCTTGGAACATCTCGTGATCCTGACCATATAGCACCACATAATGAGAAAGTTCTAGGATTTTGACCACCAATCAAGTGAGAAATTTCTGAACTTCTGTTCACCAAACAAAAGTCCTTGACCTACTGAACAACATTGATAAGTGATTATTTACTATCAATTACTAATCTTAGTTACTAAGATTCACTACGATCAGATCGAAACAGCGGGTAATCCGATGTTAGTTCCGCATCGCTTAATATCGAACCGGAACCACGTTTGGGTGAAAACGACCACATCGTAACCGCAGCTCATCAATCTTAAGTTCAAGTCAGAATATTTCTAACATGTTCGTAGTTTATATTTAGATAGAGTTAGAATTAGGGCGTAAATTAATTTTTTGAAACTTTATTGCCATCCTAAAATGGCTTTGGGACCATTTTGCAAAGGTTTCATCTACCCCCAAGTAGCACTTTCCCCCAGTGTACCTTATTGATAGTGATGCAGCAAACTAACAAACAGTATATAAGGTCTGTATACACATTAATCCGAAAACCTTCAAATCACTGTAACTTTTGAAATATTGCACGTAGAAGTGAAAAATTCCGCTGAGGTATAGCTGGGAATCGTTGATCAAAAAGACTCATTTTCGGAACGTTTGACGGTCGAGAAAAAACCAATAAGCGATAAAAACATTGGACGTACTGATCCTGCACTGTTTGAAAAAATCATGTAAATTTCTTCGAGATACAGCGCACATGAAATTAACGCTAGATTTGGCAAAAATTTACATGATATTTCGTGTAAATTTAAGCGTAATATCGCTTAAATATGCAATATTGCATGCAAGCTTGTACACGATTTCGTTGCTTATGGCAACTGTAGCTCAACTTAAACGAGGGAAGATTTTACGCGATAGTTAAAATTCTGAATTTTTTTTTCTGTGTGTCATGCACAGAAAAACTATTCTGAATTAATTTTGAGCTATACTTGGCATAAACAGCGAAATCGTTTACAAGCTTGCATACAACATTGCTAATTTATGCGATGTTGCGCTTAAATTTACATGAAATATCGTATAAATTTATACCAAATCCAGCGTTAATTTTATGTGCGCTATTTCTCGCAGAAATATTCATGAATTTTTAAAACGGTGTGAGCCGAAAGGTGAAGAGGATATGTAAGGAAAACCCGAATCTCTCTGTTCAAACGGTGGCTCGTAAAATAGGAATGTCACCTGGTTTTGTCCAAAAATCAAAACACCACCTGAAGTCTTATAAAATAAAAATAGGTCCAAATCGCAATTATGTTCTGGCCCGATTTGGCTTCATGCCATTATGCTAAAACTGTGATGGAGTGTACGAAGCAAATCAAGTGAATATAGGGTTTTTGATCTAATTTCCGCCCTACTAAGTACAACCCGCGCTTTACCTCCTTTTTTTTACGGGTTTGAACAAAAAATAAAAAATTTCTCTCAAAGATGACTTCTAAATTTATTCACCTTTCCATATGTACCGTTGGATTTGAAAAAAAAGTCACAAATTGTTAAGATATTGTTTAAAATCTAATACTGCTTCTTGATTCTAAATTCGTCCTACGAGTTTCAATTCCGTCCTAACGCATTGGAACGCCATTATATTTTCTTCGTCCTATGGATAAACGTTGAAAAAGGGGATTCGCTAGGAGCGCTTCTTTTGTTTTGAGAACAATCAGCGTAAATATTCATACAATGCGCTCTAATAGGATTTATGTTGTAGCTAATGAACTAACGCATCTGTACAAACCTATTATTGATTTGTGCATGGTGAAATCCTTGATATTATTGATCTTTTCTGATTGATAGAACGGAAATGGGCGATTACGACGAATTAGTGGTCTACCCTAGTACCAAAAACCGGAAATTCACCAAATTGTCCACAGTTACGTCCAATCGAGAGATATTGGGCTCTGATAAAGCGAAAGCTTTCTGGAAAGAAACTGGGAATCAAAGATATCAAACACTTGCTACAAATTTGGACAAAGACGGCCACCTGGG